CGGGTGCAGCCTCGGCGCGGAGCTCGTTGCGAGTGTCGCCGCCGCCGCGCCGCGCGATGCCGCATCCAGCGAGGACGCGAGCGACGGCGACAACGAGCTTCCCACCGCCGACGCAAACGTGCACTCGTGGGACGACAATGGCAGCGACGTCGAGGACGCATGGCTCGGCACCGAGATCCGTGCGGGCCGCTGCAAGGCGGGGAGCGTGTGCAGCGTCGAGGTGCGCGTCGAGGAACCCGACGTCGACGCCGGGGCCGATCATGCCTCCCTTGGTCGCGCACACGACGAGCCGCCGCACGCGCCGCGCACGACGGCGTTCGCGAGCCGCGACAGCTTCGCGCCGAGCAGCCTCATGGCGACGCCCGAGGTGTGGGACGTGAGCGAGATCGACGTCGGGCAGGTCTTCCTCCGCGCGGTCTCGTACCGGCTGCCCGTGCGCGTGGGCCCCGACGACGAGATCCCCGGGAGCATCATGCACCCCGCCGTGCGTGACTGGCAGCTGGCGCCCGAGCTTGCCGCGCTGGAGAGGAGGACGGTGAAGCAGATCGTCGTCGACATCCTCGCGGACGTCTGACGGGTGGTCGCTTCCGTCTTCGCTTGTTCCTGCTGCACTTCTCTTCGGTTCTCTTCTCACCATTTTTAATTCCGAGTTCTCGCCCTTCCACCACTCGTCGTGTGTCTGCTCGCATCGCCTGACCCGCTCCCGTTTGCGGGCGCTGTTCAGGCAACCGGCGGGTAGATCAGTGGGCGACTAGTGGGCGACCAATGGGCGACCAGTGAATGTGTCAGAGGGCACACACGGCGACGCCAAAAAAATAGTTAATGTATTTGTATTATAGTCTTTTTGTGACAAAAGTAAGCTCTCCTATTTAAGCAAATAGATAGTAGATGTATACTTTTTTTGTACCTATCTCAATAGAAAATATATTTATTATTCTATATACGGATAGCTCAGTGGTATTTGTACCCCTTTTTGCTGCAAGCAGAACAGCTTTTTACAACAAGATTCACCAAAAAAAGGTTTTATTGTTTGGCTCCTATTTCCAGGTTTTACCTATCGTATGTTTTTATCAGAAAGTGTTCGATCTTTTTAGCTTCTATTCTCATAACGATTTTCGTGCCTCTTTCAGCTGAAAATATCAACTAATTAGCCCCGTGATTTATTTTCCACCGAGATAGGCACAAAATTTTCTCTTTGCATCACAAATATACGACCTTTTTGCTAAGAGATATTTTCAAAAACGGTACTCCTTCTCTTGGTACTATTCTGTTGAAGATTCTCGCATCTTTTTCTACCGAAAGGGTAAGGCGATTTTCGGAAAATGTTGTTAAGCTCTTTTCACGCCTCTTTTAGCCGAAAAGATATTTTAATATGTCTCGTGCAAGTGCATCGTGGCTGTGAACAAGCGCCGGCACCGCACGCTATCGTCGTCGTCCGCTCCCATGCCTTGGACAGCTACTCGACCTTGTCTCCTCGCATGTCGACAGAACTACGCTGTCGAACGCCATCGTCCTTCGCAAAGATGCCGTACGCCACAGGAGCCGACCTCCCCGCCGAGCTGCTCTCCCGCATTCTCTATAACCTCACTCCTCCTGACACATGGAAGGACCGCACGCGCGCAGACTTCGAGCTCTCGTGGGCCGAATATTGGGGCTTGAAGCGTGGACTCGCTGCACCCAGCCTTGTATGCAACCACTGGTCGGAGGCGATCAGACCTCTCCTCTTCTCAAGACTCGGTTTGCGCAGCGCAGAAGATGTACGTATGTTACGGAACATCGTTGACAATCCCCGCTTCTGGACGTCGTCTCTATCGGGCGCAATCCAGATTGTGTCAATATTTCAGGAGACTGCTCCGACGAAGCCGGCATGGCTCCATCACGTCCACTGGCTGTCATCTCGACTTCAAGAAACACAGTTCGACTATTACTTGAGCTCCACGAATGAATCTAATTCGACGGTCGTCCGCCGTGACCTGTTCCGTTCGTTACCCAGGGTGCCCCCACCCTCCAGCCTGCGAATCGCCGACCTTGTGCTCAGGGAGCTACAATTTGCGAGTGCGACAGAGCTCGCGCTGCTCGTTGACAGCTTCCCATCCCTCCAGCGTCTCGCTTGCGACCAACTGACCTTCATCGACCCATCACCGGTCGTCCAATCCCGCAGGAGTTCGCGAAGACCTTCGTCATCTCTCGTCCGATGCCTCGTGTGTCAATGCGGGGCAATACCGCTTTCCGCCAAAGCAGGACTTGCCTCTGACATCCTCTCGATTGTCACTCGCGTCGGCCTCGACGCCCACATATGGGACGCCGTTCTTCATTCACTGCTTGCATTGGCACCCGTAACATTTCAAGATGTACGCGTTGAAATCCGGCAACCCGAGGATAAATCACTCAGTATGACTTCTAATCAGTCCAGAGACTAGATCTCGTGCTAAATGTCCCTTATCAGAGGTGGCGAACGTTATTCTCGGCCCAAGCGCGGACGACATATTCTCGTTGCGTGGTAGTTATACCTACGCCGATATTGGGGTACGCCAGGCGAGTGCAGGCCAAGGTGCTGGGCCTCCATCCGCATTCATCGACCATATCGATCTCTGGCTTTCGCTCCCTGAAGCCCAGGCCGATGATTTCCCTCGTTTCGACACCTTCCATTCGATCGTCGATGCTCCACTCTTCGACTGTCTTCGTTTCAAGAGTGATATGCTAGATTGTCCAGAGTGCGAGACCTTGAAAGCGATCCTGCGCTCTGTCTTGGAAGGGACGCAGTTGGACTGGGCTCTCAAGTCAGACAAACTCGAGTTCGAGTTTCCTTATCCCCAGGGTTTCCGTGTTCTCAGCAGTCAGAGCATCTTATCCCTGCAAGTGAACTTGGAGCACACCATCGACGACGCCACGATCACTCTCGACGCCGCTGAACAAGTCGAGTGGATTATTCGCGATGGTCAGGGAAAGGGTGACGAGTACCTGGAGGAGCTTGTAGCCGCGCGCACGAGCGGACCATCGGCGGGCGCGAGTTCTGGGACGGTGGCTGGGCCATCTGCTGGAGGGGGCCTAGAGCACGGCGGCTGAGCGATTCGAGGTGTGTATTATGGTCTGTGCTCATCCCCCTGCAGGTGGCTGATCATTTTTCTACAGCTGCTGAGATTGTGACTGATATCGGCTGTCAACCACATGTCACCTAGCTATGCGGGTAATGCAGTGGCACAGGCTTTGCACTGGGTAACTGTCAGCTGTTATTTTGTCCAGCCCATGTATTCATATCCGGGGATTATGTAATGCTGTGTCCTAGCATGAACCCACAAGTGCATCGTGGCTGTGAACGAGCGCCGGCACCGCACGCTGTCGTCGTCGTCCGCTCCCATACCTTGGACAGCTACTTGACCTTGTCCCCCGCACGTCGACAGAACTACGCTGTCGAACGCCATCGTCCTCCGCAAAGATGCCGTACGCCACAGGAGCCGACCTCCCCGCCGAGCTGCTCTCCCGCATTCTCTACCACCTCACTCCTCCTGACACATGGAAGGACCGCACGTGCGCCGACTTCGAGCTCTCGTGGGAGGAATATCAGGGATTGAAGCGTGGACTCGCTGCGCCCAGCCTTATATGCAACCACTGGTCGGAGGCGATCAGACCCAGTAATATGCCCGGGACTGACAACTACACCAAATTCCACCGAATACGGGGTGTACTCACCGGCACCCACTGATATCCAGTGAAGTCCAGTGCTAGTCTCCAGTGGCTGCCGCTGTTGGCTGGTGGGTATCAGTGAGTAACAGTGGGTGGCAGTGAGACACACCGGATCCCGCTGGGCTTCACAGGTTGCCACCGGCTACTGGCACACATCACCAGCGATTTGTATAAAACATTGCTCGAAGCCACTGGCTTATCAAGTACCGATATAAATACAAATATTCTTCTGTAATAGGCTCAATAAATGCTTAGCCACTGGCATCTGTATAGATGCCTATTCTCCTCTGAACTGTGCACTATCCCAGAACTCAGCTCTCACTGAAGTGTCTCTACACAGTACACTGTCTGAGTGCAAAAGGTGTGTAAAATTGATGCCAGA